AGTTCTCTAAACGTGTTTTGTTTCATTGTTAGTCAGAACTATGCTGACCAAACACCTTGCACTTGCCAAGGCGGCTGTAATTTCCAGTAAGCGTATTTCTTTCCATAAAAGAACTCTGCAAACGCTGTAATTGCACACTTTCATGTTAATTGGTTTTAAAAATCAGAACCCATTTGTCCTGGGTCTTACTTGGCCCCGGTGGCGTCTCGCCCTTGTCCTGTGTCTATTACAGGAAAACGAAGGACGGATCGAGCAGGTGGGGCCGCGGGAGCCCAGACGCCCAGTGGGTTTTCACCACTGCCGGCACCACTCTGGCCCTGCGCACAGCCTGTGGCCAAAACGCTTTTTTGAGGCGCTAACAGGCTCAGGGCCCTGAGAGCCAATGGACCCTCCAGAAGAAGCATGTACACACAGCCTCAGCAGGGTAAGAGCCAGGGTGCTAGCTGGGCGCCACGTGCTGTCTTCAAGAGGAAACACAGGACGAGGGGCCGGGGGTTGAGGAGGAGCCATTCTTGCAGGCAATCCACCCCCCCAATCATGCTCAGAAATCCTGGGGACAGCTGGCTCTTTCCCTCAAGGCTGATGATGATGACGCAAGTTGTTGCCACCCCTCCTAAGCATGGTTAGGTGGGGGCGGGGACTGTGCCTTGGGTGCCCAGGGTTAGGTGGGGGTGGGGACTCTGGCAGCCCTGGCTTTGCTCAGCTCCTGTCCTGGAAGGTTCTCAGGCACGCACAGGGGCTCTGCCGGGAACGAGGCGCTTGGGCAGCATCAAGAGCTGGGGAGCCCTCCTGGGCGGCCTGGGCTGCTGGGCCAACATGCCACGGACAGCACACATCTATTTCTCACGGTTCTGGGGGCTAAACGTCCAAAGTCACGGGGCCAGCCAGGTGGGTTCCTAGTGGGAGCTTTCCGCATGTTTGCAGATGGCTGCCTTCTCGCTGTGTCCTCACAGGGCAGAGGGAGGGAGAGACCGAGAGGGGCAGGAAGGAGGGAGAGGAGAGGGGCGGGAGAGGGGGGGAGCGGAGGGGGGCAGGGAGCCCTAGCCCTCTGCTGTCTCTTCTTATAAGGCCGCTGATCCCATGACTGGAGCCCCACCCTTGGGACCTAACCGTCTCCCAAAGGCCCTGCTCCCGACAGCAGCACCCAGGGGAGCTGTACCAGGGGTACAAGAATTCGGGGGGCACAAACAGTGGAGCACAGACGCTCCGTACCAGCCTGCAGGCACGTGACGAGCCTCAGTGGCTGCTGTGGGCTTCATGAAAGGACCCGGCCCCCGAGGCTCCGGTTCTCCTAGACGCGAGGTGGGGCTGCCCGGTGACCAGGCCCCAGGAGGTGCCAGGCTGCGGGCTGTCCTCTCAGCTCACAGGGTTAGACCGTTAGGCAAAGGGGACGGAGCCTCTGCTGAGAAAGGAGACAGGGAGGAGGGCAGGAGGGACAGGCGACGCCACGCCCCTCCCAAAGCCGGCCTCGGGAAGTGACCCCAGAGCTCTCCCGGCGCCCACACACCCCTGCATAGTGGCCTTTTGTCCCCACCGCAGCCCTGAGCTAAGGGATTACAACCATTAATGCCTTCAGACGGGGAAAGTGAGGCGGAGAGGTGAGGTTCCTCGTGTGACATCGCGACACTGCTACCTGGTGTTACTGACATGAAACCAACAGGTCTGACCTCAGAGCTCCTGCCTCGGACTGCCCGGGGCGGGGAGGGGGGGGGAGCACAGGGGGAGGGAGAGGGACGGGGGCGGAGCCCCTCGGGAAGGAGCGGGGTGGGGGGGCATGTTCGGAGATAGCTCCTAAAGCGGAGAGCACACGGGGGAGCTCAGAGCGGGCCCAGCAAATGCATCTGCTCTACTGTTCGCGTCTTCCCGCGGGGGTTCTCCTGAAGCTCGGTGCCAGCGCTTGGCTGCGGAATTAAGCACGCTCCAGTGGAAAACACGAGTTGGGGAGGGAAGGCCAATGCCAGGTTCGAAGACTTCTATGGGTTTCAGAATCCGGAAGTGGGGGCAAGCTACCTGAGTTCCCGTCCAGCGTGGCCCTGGCTTCGCCTCGGCTGGGTGGGTGCCCGTGCCAGGTAGGTGACAGCTCTTATACACGGTCCTTGGTTTCAGAAACTCCCAGCCAAACTCCCCCCCTCCCCCAGCTGCTCAAAGAACAGCTTCCAAATCAAAGTGTAAGAAAACTAGCAGCTCTCCCAATAGTTGGTCTTGCTGGGCATTCATCCTGAGCGCTCCTGGGAGTCTGGACAGGCCGGTGTGGGCACAGTGCTGAGGCAGGCCCAGAGGACTTCCTGGAGGAGGAGCACATCTGGGAACTGCTGGATACTCCCTCCCTTCGAGGAGATGAGAACGGGGCGGGTTTGGCAATGTTTGTGGCTGAGTGACATCAAGGGCCTGTCCAACCCCTTCTTGACCATTAGGTATCATGAGGTCAGTAGCCACCTACAATTTCTGTGCAATTATGAGATGTCAGCTGTAACCCAACAGGGCATAAGAGCTGGAATCCTGTCCTCATAACCATAACTGATCAAGATACATGGTGAAAGCTGACCTCTGATGAGGGACTGGAGGTGAATGAAGTGAACCATGTGCATTAATTTGGGTAAAACTTAAAAAGCAGCAGCCCACACCTTCTGAACATCTTCCTCTGAGGACACAGCTCTGAGAATTTTCTCTCCTCTGAGTGTTATTAAAACAAAGAAATCACAGGTGCACCTGGGTGGCTCAGGCGGTTAAGTGTCCGACTTTGGCTCAGGTCATGATCTCATGGTTCGTGGGTTCAAGCCCCACATCGGGCTCTGTGCTGACAGCTCAGAGCCTGAAGCCTGTTTCAGATTCTGTGTCTCCCTCTCTCTCTGTGTCGCTCTCCCACTTGTGTTCTCTCTCTCTCTCACAAATAAACATAAAAAAAAATTTAAACACGAAATCACTTATGGATCCCTATTCCCTGAAAGGAGGGTGGCTGCTCAACCAGATAATTGAGACAGTGTATTATTTTTAATTATGTGTTTTTTATGGCACATTAAAAATATTAAATACTGGGGGTGCCTGGGTGGCTCTGTCGGTTGAACATCCAACTCTTGATTTCAGCTCACGTCGTGCGTGATCCCAGGGCTGTGAGATAGAACCCTGTGTCGGGCTCTGCGCTGATCGTGGAGCCTGCTTGAGATTCTCTCCCCATCTCTCTCCGCCCCTACCCCGACTCGTATGCACTCTCTTTAAAATATAAAATACATATTAAAGACAGTGTTTGTTCATTGTATGATATAAGAGTATTATTTTACAAGGGTTTGAAATTTTTTAAGAAACAAAAACAGCTTATTGTCAAGTTGGTAAACTATTAAAAAAATTATATAGAAACCAACAGATCAATGATAAAAAATAAAAATAAAATAAAATAGAAATAAATAAATAAAAATAAAAAACAAAAACAAAAACCACCACAGATAGTTTAAGAGACACTGGCATTTTATGGAATTTTCTCTCCAGGCAGGATGGGAAAGAGGCCTGTGTGTGTGTGTGTGTGTGTGTGTGTGTGTGTGTGTGTGAGACAGAGACAGAGACAGAAACAGAGACAGAGAAACAGGGTGGTCAAACGCAGGGGAAAGGGAGGAAACTGCTCCGTTCCAGCAATAAAAACACTCATTGTGTTGGGAAATTACATGTTGCATAGTCTCCATGATAAACAGAAACATTGCTTCCATTTTGGTCTAAATGGACACGATCATTTTCCCTGCCCAGCCTGCTCTGCTGCCGGGCCAGGTGGCTCAGAGCCAGCGCTAACGAAGGGCTGTGATGCCAGGGTCAACCCACAGGAGACCCCTTTGCTGTCACGATGTGAAAGCCAACTGTTTTCGGAGCACAGACTGCAAAGCCCTTGCCCCTTATCTGGCAGCCGGCTTCGTGGAGGCCTCGCTCAGAGAGACCCCCCCAGCCTCCGGTGGGCACGGAGCGGTGAGACCCTCAGCCTCCTGGGACCCACTGCAGACAGAGCGCTGGAGAATCGGGAGCCCCTGTTCCGCACACAAGAGCCCTCTCCTTTTCTTTTAGAAACTTCTAGTCCAAGGCCCGTGCATCTAACTCTAGGTTTAATGTATTTCTGCCACAGAAGTGACGGCCATGGGGTTTTCCTTCCTGCCAAAGGCTATTAACGCAGAGCGGGTCGTTCATACACGCGATTAGAGGGCCCTTGAGGAAACTGAGTCATGTGAGAAAATGCCCGTGGTGCTGGGTGAGGACAGAACTGACCGCAGGTGACCACGGCGTGCAAACAGAGGTGCCGAGGAGTCACGGAACCCAGACCTGGTGGCCCCCCCCACCCCTTCCTTGAGGCCAGGGCACGGCCTGGAGAAACGTATCCACACCAACACAAGAAGGTAATTCCCTGAGGTCTGGTCCAGGAAGACACTGGTCAAGGAAGAGAGAAATAGCTTGGAATGTATCCAGGCTGAGATTTTTTTGAACTTCAGATGAATCTGTCCTCTTCGACTTGCAAGCCATCAACAGGAATTCCTTTTCCTCCCTCAGCGTCTTTCTCGATTTACCTTTAGGGACACGAGCTGGTTACTAGTGGGGCACCTGCTATCTCCCGGGTGCGCGGTGGAAAGGAGTTCTCTCCCGGGGACGCCCGGCTGCCCCCCACGGGGTCACCCGCCTGTCCAGGGAGGGGACACGGTGTGCTTTCCGTGCCTCTGGTCTTTTGCAGGAGAGCCTTCCCGGGACTCTGCTGAAGGCACCCACCAGACTGCGGCCTGGTGCCCGGGACGCGGTGTTCGTCCTCGAGACAGGCAGGCGCTGGCCTCTGAGCCTGCCCGGGGCCAACTCCCCTCGTATTCTCCGGGGCAAGACCACGCGCCAGCACTAACCAGCCTGCGTCTCCTGCGCGGAGGGCGAATGCACCCTGGCAGGCGATAAAATGCTCCCCCAGCACCCGATCCGTGACATCCATGGGCCCCTCAAATGAACACGGCTATACGCACACCCTCTCCTTACAGATTAGATCCGCATTAAAGATGCAACTTTTGTTTTCATTGTATTTTATTCCAAAAGAAAGGCAGCTCCCCTTGGCTAGCGAGGCAGGCTGTCCTGGAGGGGAACCCCCTTCCCCTGCCCCAGAGCCTCACAGGCTCCCTGCTGGTGCTCAGACAGGCACGTTCTCACACACTCGTGCACACACGCATGCAAGCACACCCGTGTGAACACCCACACTTGCTCATGTGCATGTGTGTGCACTTTTTAAAACGCGGGCACATTTGCAGCCAGGGCAGCTAGAGGCCTGTCGCTCTGACGGCTGAGCACAAACGTTCCTCAGAGTCACTGCACGGATATGTGCTGCTTCCAAACGGAAAAACACTGCACCTGCCTCCCTCATGTCACCTTTAAAGGGTGACAGGTCAGAGGCCAGGGAGGTGGCCTCAAACGGGAGCGAATCAAGCCAGGATGGGAGTGAAGGGCGCACATCCTGGCTGCTGGCGTGGGGTGGGGAGGGCATCAGAGATTTCACATTTCAGAAGGACCGCAGTGACACCTTGGGGTGTGCTCACTTGTATAGAGGAAGCATCCCTTTCCGGAAACAATGTAGAGGGAATCGACCCAAGGCCACGGGAGTGGTTACTTCTCTGCCTCCTGCAGTTCCCTCTGCGTGGCTTGGAGGAGGCGCTGAAGCTTCCAGAACACGTCGGGGGCCGCTCTTGGCGGGCTGCCGGCGGTGCCCCGAGGGTCTGCACATTCCTGCACCGCGTCCCGCAGCTGCAGCTGCAGCTGGACCGGGACGGCAGAGGTCCTGAGGCTGGAGGAGAACCAGTGGCGGAATATCTTGTCACAGATGACCTGAGGGACAGGGGACAGAGGGCTAGTTCAGGGCTGCGAGCCAGCCCTGGAGGCTCCCCCGGCCCAAATGGACCGTGGCTCCTCCCCCACTCACCCCCTCGCCCCCCCTTCCTGGAGGCAGCCATCTTCGTGCCTTCCCATCAGGAACTTGAACCACACAGCCCGGGGAACAAGGTCCCACCCCCAGCCTCAGCAGGTGCAGAAGGGTCCCAGTCATCCAGTTCACTTCCAAAGACCAAAGGGAGCAGAAAGTCCTGGGCAGCAAGTGCTGCGTAAGGAGTAGCCCCTCAGCTGTGTGGCCACATCGCTGAGGCTGGGCTTGCTCATGCATTCGTTGGTCATCATAACAAGCAACGACCCTCGGGTTGTTCTGAGGATCCAGTGACATGTGGTGAGAAGTAGTGAACAAACATGATAGACTCAGATAATACTTTAAATTCTCCAGTTTTATGCTGGCGCACTTAGGAGTGTATTTTTATGAGTAAATACACGAGCGTCTGGAATTGAGTTTGGTCGGGAGTGAACCAGGAGTTAATGTGGTCCTTTGTTGCACCCTGTCACCCAGCTAACGGGCACCACTCGCTGCATGATCCAGCCTTCCTTTTGCTGGCCTGAGAGCGACCCTTCCCACTTATGAAATGCCCATGTGTCAGTACATCTATCTCTGAAATTTAAAAAAATTCTATTCCTTTGCTCTGTCAATCAGGGCAGGGATATATATATGTGTGTATATATACACATAGAGAGAGAGTGAAATTGTAAGTTAGAAAAGCAATACTTTAGGAGGAAATGGGGAGACGAATAATGGGCCCTGCTGGACACTCCCTCCATTAGACCCCCACGGGGTCATTCAGCCACCAACACCATGGGACAGACAAGACAAATGACCACCCTGCCTCCCGATGTCCCTGTCCCCACGAGCGCATCAAGCCCAGGTGGGTGGAAAGGTGGCCTGGGCCACAGCATGGTGGGCAGCAGCAGCCAGAGATGACCCTGTCCCCCAGCCCACGCGGTGATGGCACTCACCTGCAGGTTGCTGTTGACTCTTTCTGCTCCACACCTGTGGATGTGCAGGTCACACTTGGAAAAACAGTCAAAGAAATTGCAGTCTTCGTCCCCCGTGCAATTCTGCTCGAGAATTTCCCTCATTTTGGGCTCAAAAAATGCCATATCCACATCGATGGCCACCACCTGTAACCAACCAGCACATGGCCATAAGAAGGACATCCGGGGACCAGCACATGGCCATCACGGGATGCCCGGGGACCGGCACATGGATGTCACGGGACGCCTGGGGGCTGGCATGTGGCCATCACGGGGACACCCAGATACCAGCGTATGGCCGTCACGGGACGCCCGGGGACCAGCACATGGCCGTCAGAAGGACGCCTGGGGGCTGGAGTGTAGCTGTCACAGGGATGCCTGGGACCAGCGCATGGCAGTCACAAGGACACCTGGGGGCTGGCATGTGGCCATCACGGGGACACCCAGATACCAGCGTATGGCCGTCACGGGACGCCCGGGGACCAGCACATGGCCGTCAGAAGGACGCCTGGGGGCTGGAGTATAGCTGTCACAGGGATGCCTGGGACCAGCGTATGGCCGTCACCGGACGCCCGGGGACCAGCACGTGGCCATCACGGGAACGCCTGGGGCTGGAGTGTGGCCCTCACAGGGACGCCTGGAGGCCATCGCATGGTGGTCACAAGGACGTCTGGGGGCTGGTGCATGGCCTCACGGGGATGCCCAGGGACCAGCACAGAGGGAGCAGGTGAACCTCTACTCTGTCTTAAGGCACCTGCAGATTGTGGGATCACAGAACTCTGCCTGCCAGAAGGAGGGGCCCCGGCCACGCTTGGGGCAGCAGGCTTCACTCACACTAGGGCCTGGCAGAGACCATACTGCAAGGTTTTCACTCCAGAAAGCGCTTTTGCCATCACTCCTGAAAGTCTGGGGTCTGGAACCATGACTACAAGTATCGCTTCTCAACTTTAAACATTTTTTCAGCTTTAAAAGTAGAATCTCTGAAATGTCTTAAAAATAAATGAATTCCCCCCGTTGCTTTGTCATGTTGGTCTCTGACCTTCAAGGGTCAGAATGATCAAAGCCGTGAGATACAGATAATTTATCTCCGTGAATGTAAGCTACAGAAGAAAACTGCCTTCAAGAGGCAGGTCCGTGGGTGTGCGGGTGAACACGAGGGCAGGACCTATGGTGGCTATTTATGGCACATGTGTGACCTTCGCCAACCGGCTTTTCTACTGACTGGTCGGATGGGAACGTGGCTGGGAAAGGCAGCGTCAAGGCTCTTCAATAAGGTTTGATGCATATGGCCCCTGATCCAACAGCATCAAACACAAAATGCCACTGTCAGCATGAGAACATGATTGACCCCCTGGAATTTCAGATTTATCTTCCTGGCTTCAAACCAAACAGGCTTCAAAACCAGAAAAAGGAATAACATCTATATTATGCAGATTTTCCTCCACAACCTGAGTAGAAAAAAAAAAAAAGCTGATCTCAAACTTGATAAAACCTAGAGTCTGCCCAAATCATGCAGCTCATAGCTTCAAGGTGTTACAAAAAGCTTTTGGAAGATTTGATGAATTTGATGGAGTCTGTGACATTTCACAAGCCTTCACAGGTCACCCTCCAAATATCAGCCCTTCCTCCTGCCTTTGGTAGCATCTCAAAAAAGATGCATTTGTTGGGGTTCATGTCCTCCTCACCTTGGTGGTGTTGGGAGCTATGCTCCCCAGTTTGGGTTTTTGTTTTTCACTCCGGAATGATGCCAACAGGCAGTAAACTTTCTTGGGGATTATTCAGTCAGACACAAGAGGAAAAATAATTTTTTTCAAAATATATGGAGAATAATGAAAATAAAAACAGAAAACTCTTCCCTATTTAAGAGCTTTGCCTAATTACTAATTCAGGCACAGCACATAGAAATTATAATTTTAATCAATTTTTCCCATCTCATTATTTCATTGTTTACCTAGTTAATACACTAAAAATATAGTAGGCTATGCTCACAAATCTATTGTCTTTGTAAGTTATTATGGGACCTCCATGGTCTCTCCTCTTTCTGTACTTTATGGCAATCTCCCCAGCTTCCCCCCGGGCCCCTACTTGTGATTTCAGCTCCTTACAACTTCTTTCTCCCATCTCTGATTGCTCCCTTCTTATCTCCCAGGGAGAGCCAGATTTGTTTTTTAATTTTTAGTGTATAGTGTAGAATGGATTGCAGCTATTGTGAGCATAACACGATGCACCTAAAATAAGAACAGCAACCAAACCAACAGAGAAAGCCGAATAAGGTTTCTTAAACAGAATCGGGAGAATCGTAACATCCTTCCTGCATGGAACGACTTAACTTCATCAAACTCCCTCCTGGCATCAGACTAGAAAGGGTTGAGAATTATGTCATTCTCCACTGCAAAGTGTGGCTCTGGGTAGGAAACATATCTGTTTGAAAGGAGCATTTGCAGGCAATGGTTTGGGGACACAAAGCAATGGTGTTTCCCAGCTGTTCCTTCGCAACCACTGGATAAATTCTCAGGATCTGTATGCGGGGACCCAGAGAAAGTGAATGACTGTGTGCCAGTCACCACGGCCCACCACTAGAGTGTCAGACCCAGTGCTGGGGTTGGGGGCGGAGGGGAGGCAGGGAATTCGCATTTCTAACAAGTTCTCTGGTCTCAGAGAACCAGAGAACCCTGCTGGGTCGCATTTAAAGTTGTAAAATCATAGGTAAAGTTAACTTCTTGAGACTTAGCATGTAAGGAGGTCAATAATGCCAGGGTTAGCCAAGAAGGACCCTCTGTCCTTCTTCCTCTTTCTCCCCCGAGCAAGAGCTCAGGCAGAGGTAAGGGTCTGTGCACCCCAGCAGAGTCCACAGGGCACAGTGTGGGGCCGGGTTGAAAGTGTAGCCGTTATTTCATTGAACAAATATTTCCTGCCTATGTGAACAAGATCCTGGAAGGCACAACTCTGGTGCAGTGCACAAGCCAGCAACATGCCATGCTGCCCTTTCCCCCAGGGAAGACCCGTCAGCCCTGCCTCCTTTCTGCAGCCTTTGCTGGAACCTAGCCCAGACAGCCCCTCAGTTCCCTCAACTGTTACTGCCCCTGTTGAGTTCCACTCGCTGACCCTCCAGAACACTTGCTGGATGAATAAATGGGTGTCAGATGAGAACGGGCCCCATAACTGCCAAAGCCAATGGCTGTGAGTGGACACTCGATGCCTCTTTTCCCAGGGCCTTGGGGTGTCTGCGTTCCCAGGATTTCTCTGAGAAAGAGAACGGTGGTCCTTCATGTCCACTACATAAGCCTTCTGCCCATGAACTAGGGAAGCCTTGGCTGGGATCTCAACTCCAAAAATACGCTGTGAGAGTCCTGGGCTGCCCCTCCCCTTCACCACCCACACCATGTCTAGAGGTCTCACGGAGCCCAGGGAATTGCAGACGGAGCTGAGCTCTCCCAGAGCTCACCACCCAGAGTGCAGACCCTCCAGGAGCCTCCCAGACCCTTCTGGAACCTCTCAGCTCTTTCCCTTCTACAGTTTGAGCCACGCCCATCTTATCAATCCCTCTGGGGCAGCCGGGGACAGGGCATTAGGACAAAGCGGTTTGGGCAAGTCGCCATGATGCTCTTCCCAGTGACAAAGGCTTGGTTGGAAAAGTGGTTTACATGGGGGCAAATTTTGTTTCTCGATTTCAGGCTGTTGCCGGAAGGCACGCCCATGCCACCTGCCACAGAAGCAGCCCTCGGCTGGCAGCGGGAGCACCCTCCTGTGCTCCTTTCTGTTTCTCACCGGGGCGAAGAGTGCTGTTTGGCCATGAGGCAGCACCCTCAGCGGCCAGCCCTCCGGTGTGGTTCCATTGTTGGCCTGGCCATTCACCGGCCGGCACAGAAAAATGTACAAGCTAAATGACTGCAGCTTCGGGGGGAAGGGGGCCTGGGACACAGCCCCCTCCCCATGTCCACCCCACCCCACACCTACTTCTTCTGAAGTGCTCCCTGCACTTGACCCTGCACAGGGCAAGGACGCATCAATGCGACACACGGGTTTAGCCAGTTGGGGGGAAGCGAGAGGGGGTAGCCTCCTCGTCAAACACTGAAGTCCCTCCTGCCGCTGTTTCTCCAGCACGTTTAATTCCACGAACGCCTGCACCGCCCAGAGCAGGGGACGGACTTCACCCGCCGCTGCAGGTGCGGAGCCAGGTGCTCTCACCTGGGCAGGGTTTTCCCTCGTAGAAGATGCCAAAACTCTGCTTGTCCCTCTGGAATCCTACGCACGGAAGGGAAACCAGCTAGGACCTCTCCAGGAAGAAAGGACCAGAAAAAGTCCTGCAGTATCGCAGAGCACGGGCGCTCTGAAAGCAGCAGCCCTCAACCGGCCACTGTACGGAAGCCCCCAAAGGCCACCTTTCCTTGTCATCCTTCGTGCCTCCTCCTGTCCTGAAGGTGGTTTTCTGACTCAGCAAGAACTTGCTTCCGAATTAGCCTAAGATGCAGCTGAGCTGCTTTGGAGAAGCCAGAGCGCCATTAGGAAGGACACACCTTCCCCTGCTGGGCCCTCCACCCCCGACCAGGCGCCTTACCTCCTAATTCCCGCTCCTGGTTGGGGCGGGGTTGGGGTGGGGGCGCAAGGTGCACGCGCGTTCTTCAAACTCTCTCATCAACACCCAGAAAGGAGGTGGTATGGCAGGTCTGGGTTGTCCAGGCTAGAAGGTTCTGGAGGGTTCAGTGTTCCCCCATGATTTCAGAAACCTCTCCTGGCTTCTCCGTCCCCCACATGGCACGCACGCCCTCCCCAAGCCACTCACCGTGAAGTCACTCCTGATGGCGAAGTTCTCGGGCTTGACGTCGCAGAGGTGGAGGCGGTGGGAGAAGTCGTCATCAAAGTGCCTCACCAGGTCCAGAAAGCTGAGCGCCATGTCGCTGATGGCCTTGGCCTGGTGCCGGCCGCCCCGAGGGGCGCCCGCGGCCCCGTGCAGGGGGAAGAGGGTCCTGTGGCGGGGGCTGCCCGCGGCCAGGTACTCCACCGCGTAGAAGTGGCCGCAGGAGCCCAGCAGGGGCGGCGCGTGCCGGCTCAGGTCCTGCAGCAGGCTGAGCATGACGAACTCCCCCTGCTGCACCAGGGCCCACAGGCTGGCCAGCCGGCCCCGCCCGCGCCCGCCGCGCCCCCCGGGCCACAGCGGCCCCAGGCTGCCGTTGGGCAGCTCCAGGCCCAGCGCGCTCCTGACCTCGCCGGCCACCAGCAGCAGCAGCTCGGCCTCCGGGAAGTCCTGGCCGCCGTCGGCCGCGTCCTCGGCCAGGCTGAGCGGCTCGAAGCTGGAGAAGGCCTCCTCCTTGGACTTGAGGATGACGGGCCGGCCGCGCCAGTCCGCCTGCAGCACCTTCTTGCCCCGCTCGTAGTACAGGCAGCGCCGGTAGCGCAGCGTCCCGGCCACACACAGGTCCTCACAGAGGTCCCCCACCAGCGCCCCGCCCTCGAACTCCTGGCACTGGAAGGAAGGGGACACGCGATCACAGGGCGGGAGGGGCCGGGCCGTCCCTGCAGGCCAGCCCCGCACTCGGGACGCTCCCAGTCAGCCGCTGAGAGAGACCGCTCGCGCTACTTGGGTAGGTGAGTAAGGAAGCCAAGGGGTTAAAGTCTCTCGAATCTATCACCTGATTCAAGGAGGCCCAGGCCTGGAGAGTCAGGACAGCAGAGGCGAGAAGCGCCCCCCACCCCATCCAGCCCCGTGATGCTGGGAAAGCCTTGCGCCCGCGGGCTCTCAGTTCCCTCAACTGTCCTTCCCGCCCGGCCACGAGGTCGGGCCGCCCCGGGGAGCTTTGCACCCCACCATCCAGGAATGGCGGAGTCAGAGCCCCGAAGGTGGGGCCAGGGCCATCGACCCCTCCCTCCTGCGGGCCTGGTCCCCCAGCCTGCTGCTTCCACACCCTGCAGTGCGGCCCCGGCTCTGGAAGGAGTACAGAGGTGCGGAGGGGAAGCCGCCCCGGGAAACAGGAGACAGCAGGGGCCTCGTGGGTGGAGGCGTCAGCGGGCCGGAGAGGACACAGGAGCTGCACGGGGTGCGTTCTAGAAGTGCAGGGCGCGCTCTGTTCCTGGCGGCGGTGCAGGGGGCCAGGGGCCCTCAGACGGGCGTTTCTCCAAAACTTGAGCAGCTTGGGGTGGGTTCCATGCTGGGGACCCGGTGACCCCCCAGCACATTACAAACACCGCCGAGAAGACGGTCCCGCGGGCCCAGGTGTGGTCCCGCTGGACCAGGTAGGCGGGGGAGGACGGAGCTGAGTGCGATGAAGGACTGGTGCTCTGCTCCTTTCCTTTCCGTTCCTTTTCTTTTTTTTTATCTTTCAGGAAACCGACGGCCCTAGCCCCACTCCTGCGAGGAGCTGAGCAGATGCTCTAAGGCCACCCGCTCCCCCCCATGTGCGTCCCCCTCCACATGGGCACATGCAGGCCTCCCCTCCCCTAACTTCCACAGCGCCTTAAACGAGGGGGTCGCCCAGTCCTCATCAGGTGATGAGACAAGGGCAGGACCGACACGTCGTCTTCCGCACTCTGTCTCGTGCCCACAGGGTGCCCAGGGTGCTCAGAGCCACGAGCTGCAGCTACTGAGCCGCACGGTGCAGACAGTGTGGACGTGGCCGGGAGCCACACGGCGCGGACCCTGGCCTGGCTGTGCCGCGACATCCTGAGCGGCTGCCCCGCTGCCCTGAACCTCCGCTCCCTTCCCTGCATCACACTGTCTGCCTCCCTTGCTCGGTTTCGGGCAGGCTGAGTGGGAGAGAGGCTGTGGAGGCCATTAATGTATTCAAGTGCGAGGCATCACGAGATGCCCTCGAATGGCGGCCGGGTCCATAGTTCCTGAGACTGAGGTCGCCCACGCTCTCGGCGTTGTACTATAAGCGGCTCAAAGTCAGACAATGTTCTCCCAATGCCTGGATGTGGACAATTCCAACATGCAAAAAGCTCTGAAAACTACAACCTTTTCATGACTCTCTGAGCCTCACGTGGAATCAAAACCCAACCGAACAGTCTGCAGGGCCTCGACCTGGTGTGAGTTCGCGTACACCGCGCTGCAGAATTATTAATTTGTTTGGTTACTGGTTTTGCCTCATATGCAAAATATAAGGTATATGCTCCATGTTAGCCTTCCGATGCTCCAAAAAGTGTGAATTTGAAAACATATGCCTGGCCCAAAAGTATTAGGAAAAGGATTGGGGACTTCATAAATACTCTAGTTTAATTGTTCAAAGCACACATTACCAAAATGCTTATTAGAAAGAAATATTCCGGGGCACCTGGGTGGCTCAGCTGTTTAAGCGTCCGACTTTGGCTCAGGTCATGATGTCTCTGTTTATGAGTTCAAGCCCCGCTTCGGGCTCTCTGCTGACAGCTCAGAGCCTGGAACCTGCTTCAGATCCTGTGTCTCCCTCTCTCTCTGTGCTGCTCCCCCTCTCATACTCTCTCTCTCTCTCTCTCAAAAATAAATAAACTTTAAAAGTTTTTTTTAAATAAAGAAATATTCCCAGTTCTTAAAAGAAGTAAGTGAATCTTCGGGATCGTTTCAAGCAGTAGCAGGAGAAGAGCCTGGAAGACCCAGGCCACACCATGTGACCTGACCCCGCGGCTTTCTGCTGAAGGAGTCTCCTGGGAGCTATTTCTCCCCTTGTGGCCTTTCCATCTCGGTGTGTCATACTGGGTGGTGGGTGTGTCACACTTGCCAAGCCCCGGCGGCCTGGGCCTGGTGGTGAATCTGCCCCAGGGCCTGAGTACCACCTGCTGCTGGGGCTGCCTTTCTGTTTTTGGAAAACAGACATCTGTAAGGAAGCTGTGTTAATAAACACCCACACAACTGTTCCAAACACACTCCATGCTCAAACACACTCCACGCTATGCTCATCTTTAATGTATTTAACGTAACACAGTGTTGGCAAAATGCCATCCTTCTAACTCCAAGGTTTGGGGTCAAGAACTGAGTATTGAAAGCACAGGACCCGTTGAGTCACTCACTGTCTGCTTAGAATTGCTTCCATGTCACCCCTTGTAAGAAAGCGGCATGAATGGGGCTTCCCTGAGACCTTTCGGTATCCTCGCAGGGGGGCAGTGGGGATGAAAGGGTTAAGCGGTCTAGCCAACCAGGACTGGAAAGGCTGTGAATGATGGAAATAATGTGCGGCACTCATTTTACTTGTAGTTTCTCTCCTACTCTATCTGGAGTTTACAGTCTCACATTTCTTCAGTAAATCTGATCAGAGAATAAAAACTTCTTTTGATTTTCTCATAAAGCCCTCAAATTCCTCTTTAGGTTTAGGTATGACATCCAAAATTATTTGATTAAATTCTGTAACACTTTTAGAGCGTTGTCACATTTATAACTTGATCAAAAGCGCTCTTGTATGAAGTACAGCACAGATCAAGAAAAGCAGGTGACGGAACCGGTCTGGCGGGAGGAAGGTCCTGAGCTGATAGAAGGGAGAATCGCTGCATGGTGCGTGGGGTGCAGGGAGGGCATCAGCTGCGATGGCCCAGGGCTTTACTTTCATCCGGAACTGCTCCTGGCCAGGAGACACACCTGTGGGCCAGGAGGACCCCCCATTCCTCGAGACTGGGAATGGCGCCAGGCAAGGACTTGCTGCTTTCAGCCACTTCCAGCCACCTTCAAATCAACAATGCCACTCTCTCTCCCAGCTTAACCCAGCCGTCAGTGAGCTCAGCCACTATCCGCTACAGGTACCAGGCTCAGGAGTTCACAGAACAGTGGTGGCTGCCTTCCAAACTCATAAAGGACAGCAGCGTGTGACCTGTGCAGGATAGGTACAGTCAGCCGTGGCTCCGAGCAGACTGGGTTTGTCTCCCAGCTCGCCATCACCAACCCCCCTCCACCCCCCACCCTGACTAGTTTCCAGGTCTGTAGCATGGGATGCTGATACGGTGTCATAGGAGACCTGTGAAGGTCAACCAAGGTCACAGGTGAGAGGACCTGGTCATCTCAGTGAATGTTACTTCCCGCCCACCCTTCCGCCCGGATGGTGGGGAGTGGGGAGGCTTCTTAGAGAGCGCCTCCTGAGCTCAGTGTCCAAAGCAGGTGTGCAGGGCAGACCTGGAGACAGAGGCAAGCACCTGTGTGTGATAGAGGGAGGTGGCCTCGGACGGAAAATGCCATGTCTCTGCCTGACAAAAATGCTTCTGGGCTGCAAGTGCCAGACTGACCTTCCCAGGGAGACAGCCCACCAGCCCCTGGGGCTCCTCACCTCTGTCCCCGCCCCCAGCCCTCCACGCACCACACTCACCTGCACTGTCCTCTCCCCCAGCGGCCCCCACAGCACAGTGTCCTCTACAAAACTACCCTGTGGAGATGACATGGAGTTCAAATCAAACGAAAGCCTCTACAATTTTGCCCTTACAAATTTGGACGGCAATTCCAAACAGAAGTTATGAGGCATTTTGAACAACGGAATAATCATCGAATTGGGCATAGAGCCTATCGGTTTTGGAGGGAAATATTGGGGAACATTACTTTGGGCTGTTTTCTTTTCTTTTTTATTTTTAATGTTTTATTTATTTCTGAGAGAGACAGCGTGAGCAGGGGAGGGTCAGAGAGAGAGGGAGACACAGAATCTGAAGCAGGCTCCAGGCTCTGAGCTGTCAGCACAGAGCCTGATGCGGGGCTCAAACCCACGAACTGTGAGATCATGACCTGAGCCAAAGTCAGACACTTAACCGACTGAGCCACCCAGGCACCCCTGGGCTGTTTTCTGAGCTTAGCACACTGAGGTGTAAGTGTACATCCTGCGTGGCTGACAGCCTGTGGGGAGGTGGTGTCGGGCATCTCAGAGGCCAGGGAGTGGAACGGGGTGGCCAGAATCCCAGAGGGCCCGGCCAGCCGCCATTGGTGAGGTCTCAGGTTTATGCCCTAACTTCCGGTGCGCCAGTCACCTGGTTCATCCTAGAGAGAGTTTGCATTAGAGCAGGGTACACACGGCGTGGTTATTACAGAGCTGATCTTCCCCATCAGCCCTCATGAGGATGTACATTAGCCATTTCAGCTCCTACTCTCTTATGCAGCATGTGCAATTCCTCCACGTGGCTATGCTGGTTACCAGGGTTGGAGTGAGTCTTCAGGATCTTTTTTCACATCTGAGCCTCCTAAACACAGAGAAAGAACTAATCTAGCACTTAAAAAATAATGAACTTAGCGAGGTGTCTGGGTGGCTCAGTCGATTGAGCTTCCAACTCTTGGTTTCAGCTCGGGTCATGATCTCAGGGTTCATGGGTTTGAACCCTATGTTGGGCTCTTCGCTGACAGTGTGGAGCCTGCTTGGGATTCTCTCTCCCCCCTCTCTCTCTCTGCCTCTCCTCCGCTCTCTCTCGTTCTTTCAAAAACAAACCTTAAAAAAATAAACAAGATATAAAAAAACAGTGAACTTAAAGTACAAACTGCAAGTTTACAAGCTAAATAAAAATTGCCATTATGTTAGAGACAATAGTGACATTACTTTACGTGTCATGTGTCTTACTGAAGTAGCTATTTTTTAGCTCCACAAAAGCAGTTTATTCACTTTAACTCAATTTTAAAAATCACTTTTCTCTGCACACGAGGGGGTGCTGCCAGCATAAAGACAGGTACAACCCTGTGCTCAAATGAGTACACATACAAAATCCACAGGTATCGCATTTAAAAAAAGTAATAAAGTCTCCTTGCAGCTGACTGGCATTTGGTGATTATTTGAGCTCGCAGTGGGTTGGCGTTTCTAGACTACATGCACGCGTACAGACGCACGCTGTGGAATTCCCAGGTCTGGTGGGAAGCATCTCAGAGGCTGTTGATTAGAATCTCTTCAGCATCTCTCATGGTTCTCAGGCAAAAACAAAACCTGTCTGCTCTGGTCTGGGAAGCTGTTGACAGGGTCCCGGAGGTCATGCCTAAGGGCTGGGCTTTCTTTTGTGTGTCTGTTCTTGTTTTTAAGGAGCACTAAGTCCCCATGGGTTGAGCAACATACCCCATGATAGAATTCCTCCCCTGAGCAGTTATCTGTCCATTGCAAAATCTCAGAGCACTTAGCCAGTCCACTATCCAACCCTTCTTGGCCCCTGGGTATGCCCTAGAAGATACACATCACAAACATGGCCAAAGCACTTGGGAAAATAGAATCCTTCCCTCCTATAAAATCTTTCTGGATGCCATAGTCCCACTGGGGCCATAGGTTTCTTTCACAGCAAAGAAAGATAAGCCTGCCCTGTGAAAAAGCAATCTCTACTGTAGGCAACAGAATTAAATAGCATCAAGACCTAAAGAGCCAACAGGGATTTAGCTTTCTAAACCACAGAGCCTGTGGGAATATTTTTGAGATGCTTTGACAATGATATGCTACGGAAGGGTAAGAGTATGCAGTTGTCGTTTAGGGTTTTCATTACTGGGGAAGCCACCTATTGCCCCGGAGTCTTGGCTACCAAAGTGCACAGGGTCACGCACGGGCTCCATGACACACTCGGTGCACGAATCAGGATACTTTACCTCTGTGGGGCGTGGTCTGGCCATCTCTGAACTGAGGATGGTAAGAGCCCATACCTCCGGGGGTTGTGCAGGGGCATCTCTCTGCGGCTGTGCGAAGGCCTCTACCCGCAGAACCGGGGCTCCAGGCTTGTCAGTAACCAGACACCGTGTAAGGCTCGCCAGCCCGGGGTGGCCCCTGACACAGCTCGCTGGAAAAGAAGGGCTCTAGAAACCTCGCGGACAGGCTAAAGAGGGCTTACGATGTCTTGATTATGAGATGTGCTGAAAAGCCGCGGCCCGGAGGAGCGCGGCAGTCTGACTCAAAAAATGCAAAGCTGGAAGACTGACGGCTCAACTGCTTGGAACAATTCCCACTGGCTCTTCCAGCGGCCCCTCGTCCAGGGCCCCCTCGGCAGGCGGGGTACCGCTCGGGGGGCGCCAACAGCCCCGACTCCCAGCCCCTCGAGCTTTGCGCCTTGTCTAAAGACTGCCTCGCGGGCCAGCCATGGCAGGCGGCGGGCATTCACCATCTCCGCCAGGGAGGGAGAGGGCTCCCTGCGGCTCCCCCTGGGCTTCGTATTCAGAGGGAAAGCTAATGAGGGTCTGGAGAGCAGTCAGAAACATAGCAGCCAGTTTTCTTATGAAGGACAAAAGCCAGGCAGGATGAATTGAAAGTGCCTGGGAGCCTAGAGACAGAGGGTCAATTCAGCTGGAGTCCCAGGGAGGCCGCAGCGCCAGCCTCCGCGCAGCGGCCAGGGCCCAGCGGAGTGGGGTGCGGAGCCCCGCTGTGCCGCGCCAGCCCTGTACGAGTTCAGAGTGTCCTGGGGGACGGTGAGCCGGGTGCTGAGTGGGGCTAACAGGAGCACATCCAGAATGGAGAAGGTAGCAGGGCTGGGCAGGGAGAGGAGAGAAGGCCAAGCCCGGAGCACGTGTAAGACATAATGGCCTTGAGCAGGGCGGCCGGATGACGCTCCCCAAAAACTCAGTTCACTGAGACAACGTCAGATGAACTTCAGGGAGACAGACAGAGGCGGTATTTCGATCCGTTCTTTCGGCAAGAGGCAGGATGAGAAGCTTCAGGAACAGAGTCAGTCTCTTCAGCTTCATGTCAGACTAAAGTGACCCCAGATGGCTGCCATTGGAGATATATTGGCAGAGCCTCTAACCAGAATTGGTTTTGATTTATGGGCTGGAATGCTGGGAAAGTTATGATTAGCAATTACCTAAATTATATTAGGCCATATAATTTCCATTAGTCCTTTTTCCACTTAACCAAAGATAAATAAATGAAAATAGCATTTTTATTTTAGTGTAAAAGATTATGGTATTATTCTTTTATTGTATTATTTTTGTAAATAGCTCTTGCATCCTGGCTACTCTATTTTCCTTCATTAAAAGTAGTCAGTTTCCCTAAAAACAGAGGGGCTGCAGAGGGGGAAGCCTTTGTAAGTGAAAGGGATTTTCCTTTTTTCTTTAAATTTTTTTTTTTAATGTTTTATTTATTTCTAGGAGAGAGAGAGAGAGAGAGAGAGCGTGAGCAGGGGAGGGTCAGAGAGAGAGGGAGTCACAGACTCTGAAACAGGCTCCAGGCTCTGAGCTGGCAGTCAGCACAGAGCCCGACGCGGGGCTCGAACCCACAAACCGCGAGATCATGACCTACGCGGAAGTCGGACGCCTAACTGACTAAGCCACCCAGGCGCCCCTGTGAAAGGGATTTTCATATAGGCTGAGAAAGTCGATGAGTTGTTACAAGTTAAAGAAAACTTGACAGAACTTCAGTGTCAGGGTCCATCCATGACTGATGATGGATGGGTGACTGGTAGACGGGATGCAGGGAATCCGTGGTGAGGGTCTTACGTGCATTATGCTGAGTTCATGATGACACATGTCAGAGTCAATTAGAATACGATTTCTTTTAGTTTGTATGTTTCACTCACTTCTTTAACTTTCCCAGTCTCACTTAAAAAAATTTTTTTATAAATCTTTAGGCTCTGAAGTTTTGAAAACCTACACTCTCAAAACACCCAGTCATCTGTAAGCAATCGGTCTGTAAACTTCCCATGTGTCTTTTTCTTTTTTTGAAGATTTCTTAGAAAATAGATAATTTTTCATAGCAGATGCTTCGATGGGCACTGTTTTAGGAAGCGAACAATCGCTTAAGAAACCAACGGGACAGAAGCTGCCGCTGTCTTCACCTTTTTGGCTTTCCCTTCGGGGATTCCTACCTTTAATCGAGTCTCCTAAAGCGCATACTCTTCCCGGCCAAACCGAGAGACTGGGGAGCACCCAACGTTTGGAATCGGCGAAAGGAGCATCTGGGACCCAGGGCGCAAGGCAGCCTGCAACGGAGGCCGTGCCTCCGACCGCCCGGCCCGGCTGGGACCCCTCAGGCCCACCCCCTGCGGAGGAGCCTGCGGTCTCGACCCCGCGACCCGGGTCTTCGGGGGTGCGCTCGCCTGAGCGCGCTCCGCCTGGGGCCCCATAAGCCGCGCGGCGGAGAGAGCCGAGGCTCAGGGGCGCGGGGCGACGGGGGCTGCCGGCCGCCTGCACGGGGCTGGGCGGGAGCCACCGAGCAGCCGCCGGGCAGCAACCAGACCCGAGGAGCTGAGGCGTGGCCCCCGCCAGCGCCCCGAGCCCGGTGGCACCACCCCGCACCGGGCGGCGAGGGGCGGCCGGGCGGCTCGGAGCCGACCTGCAAACTCTCGGAGCGCGGGCTCCGGGGCGGCAGCTGGGCAGGAAGACTGTCTTGGGACAAAGGGCCAATTTTGGCGAAATGGGGAGAGACACCTCCGCGCGCCCGCAGGGGACTCGGGGCAGAGAGACCGGGGTCCGCCAGCCTCGGGCGCTGCACGCCGGGTGCCGGGAACCCCACCCCGCCCACCGTGGGTGCCGCGGCCGCGCCCCAGGGCCCGGCTCCGGGTGCCCCACCCCGTGCCCCACCCCGTGCCCCGGGGAGCGCGGCGCGGGACCTACTAGCGCGGCCAGGATGCGCCGGCTCTTCTCGTCGGTGCAGCGCTCGGAGAGGACGCCCGGGTGCGCGCGGAGCAGCAGCGCGGCCGCCAGCACGCAGCCCGCGGTCCACGCAGCGCAGGCCAGCAGCGCGCCGCGCCCGCAGCGCCCCCACCGCCCGCGCCCGCCGCGCGCCATGACCCGCCGCCCGCGCCCCGCGCCCTGCCCGCGGCTCCGCGGCCCGGCGCGGCTCGGCGGGGGAGAGGCAGGGCGAGGGGAGGGGGGGGCCGGCCGCGCGGCCCCTCCTGGGGGTGGCGGAGGGGGGAGTGTCCGCCCGCCGGGGCCGCCGGGCGAAGGGGGCGTGCGTCCGCCGCTCCGGGGTCCGCGCGCTGCCCGCCCCGCTCCGCCCGCCGCGCGCACCCCGCCACCTTTTCCCCTTTTTTTTTTTTTTTGCACATTTTTTTTTCCTGAGACCAGTTCCCCTGTTAAACAGAATCCGCAGAAACCGCGTGGATTCGAACTCAACCCCCCCCCCCCGCCACTCCCGCTCAGGCTCCTGGTTCCTCCGTGAACACATGTTTAATTCAGAGAAGATCTGCCCTCTTCTCCTGGCGGCTGCTCGGTGCCCGCACCCCGTCCTGTTACAGAACTCGACCCCCCCCCCGTCCCTGCTCGCTCCGCGCTGCAGCTCTGCCCCCCACCCCCACTCCGCATCCACCCTCTGCTCGATTCCTCTCCGCTCAGAATCTGCCCCAACTTGGGTTCCCTCCGGCCCCTCCCGGGGTGAGAGCCCTCCTGGGGCCTGGGGCCTTCGGGGCGTCTCGGCGACCCCCGCCCCCCGCCTCCCCCCCAGGAGCCTCCTACGCCCCACCGCCGTGACCCAGGACGACAGAAAACGAGAGTCCTTTCCGGGCACAAAGAGCGCCACGCTCTTTAAACGTTTCCGCTTACCCCTCGGCCAGGAGAGCCTGTCGCCGAATGTGTCTAAATCGTATTTATACGTGTTTGTAGCGCCACCTGGGGGGGCAGGCTTCCGCGTTCGGACCCCAGTCGTGGGGTAACACGGGGGGCGCGCTGGCCCGCCCTCTCCGCCCCTCCCTGCGCCGCTGCCGCTCCTTCGTAAAAGCCTTTCTCCCCCAAGGAGAGAGGCCCGGGGGGGGGGGGTCCCAGGAGGTGTTCGGTCACAGCTGAAGGCCCCTCAAGGGTGCCCCGCCCCAGCGACTCTTGCTGTCACCTTAAAAGCTCGTGCCCCGCGTTTTCGGTGCCAGGTCAGGGCAGGTGGCTCTCCTGCCTGCTCTGTGCCTGAATGTGCGTTCCTGACGGTAGGAAGCACCGGAGCTACTCCAGCCCTGATAAGCCCGCTGTGATTATCCCTGGGGAACTGGCTTCTTAGCCTCGCCTCCTCTGCAACTCACCCATTAACCTTCATGGCTCCATGGCAGAAGTTTCTAGAAAGTTGTGAAACATAAAATCAACAAATATCACCAAAGGAGCACTTTAGGATCAGGGCAAATATTCCCTAATGCAACAGACACTGGGGTCTGGGGACCCCTTGGTCCCCCGATGCCCCGGGCTCCTGCCGTACGAGCGTATGCCCGTCCCTGCCCTCCTCCGCAGGGCACACCGGACAGAAGCAGGCTGCGAGTGTTCTGCGAAGCTGGCTGCATCAGAACTTGGTTGTCTCATTTCAAAAGAGTTGTGGAGCCCAGAAGGCTCCCCAGAATATTGCTTCCAAATCCCGACTTGATGGTGTAAAGTTGATTCCTTTTCTCACGAATTTGGGGCTGGGGGCAGCAACAGGAAGAAGGATGAGGTAAAGGCACGTGCACACTTAGCCTTTACAACATGTGAGTAAAAACCACAGACGGGAAGCAGAACTTGCGATCGAAGTTAACAACATTAGGATCTGCAAGGCAGCTTTTACTTCTCTGTAAGTTTTTTAAAATGTCAGTCACACTTCTTTTGGCATTTTTAAAGAAAAAAAAAACCCACAGGAACAAAATTATAACCCCACAATAGAGAGATCCTTTAAATATTCAGCACTGTTTTAACACAGAAGTTACCGTACTCCCTAGACCAAAATAAAATCCTCAGAATACAGGACTTGGGCAGGCTCACATATGGCTGGGCAGTTTGCGCACTGCACAAAGCCAAGGAGAGGTGGATGGGGCTGAAGTCCACCGGAGCTCAGCTCACCGTACCCTTTCCCCAGAGGGTCCCATGGAGGGGGCTTCTTGAGTTACCTCTTTGAAAGGGGCTTTTTTGGGTAGTCACATGAAGGTGCTTATAGGCCAGCTGGGCCCTTCATACCAGAGAGATTCCCCTAGAGCTGCAAACAACAAACAAACAAATAATGGATTGAACAACAGAATGTGAAGCTTTGGCTTCATGAACAAAGAAAAGCAAGTGAGGTCTCCTCTCCCGGGAGCCCTGCCTGCCTCGCACGCTGCTCCCATCAGCCCGGGCTCTGCAAGTATGCTGCGTGGTTCAGGATGACTGGCAGCCTGCGGCAGCGGCCGGGCCAGGGTCTGCAGGTCACGAGTTCGGGGACAGGCAGAGCTGGGGAGGGGCTTGGCCCAGTGCCTGCTTCCCATCAGGCTGATCTGAATAGGCTTTGACTCCTTAAGAAAATGGTATGAAACCCAGCTCCCTTAACCACACTATGAAAACCAGCTCTAATATTAGAAATGGCCACGCACAGTGATCCCTCTGGTCTTGCTGCATTCGTGCAGAAATCCACAGGGTACTTTTCCTCCGCCTTGAAGGAGACGGCTATTGCGCTCTGCATACCAGCCAGACGAAAGTCCGCAAGCAGGTGAAAGGCGCCTGTGTTCCAGAGTCCAGGACCCACGCTCCGAACCCAGGCCTCCGGCACCCAGCACAGCAGAGTGGAGGAAACACTATGTGATCAGGGGTCGCTTGCTTTATCAAGCACTTAGACTGGACTGTATTTATTCATTTATTTCTTCCATTAGACTAGAGGCTACTTGAGGGTAAGCACTGTGTCTTATTTTATGTTGTAATCCCAGCACCTGGTTATTATTATTGCTCCTGAAGTCTGGTGCCTGATGTAAGGGAGCATCTGCTGAAGAAATGAGCGGAATATGCAATTCTAGTGTTTCCTCTGAAAGGGCAGAAAACGTTGAGCACCCTGTGGAATTTTTCTTGGGAAAGTGTTTTTCACACATAAATATTTCTTTCTGATTTCTTGAGGCTAAATTGAGCAATCCAGACACATCACAGGGTGAGGAATATGTTTGAACATATCCTTTGGGCTCTGAACTCCTCTGTTGACAGTTGAAGTTGTCACTGAGAAAGGAGTATGAACATTTTCCTTGTAGGTCATTACTGGAAAAAAAAGGTAAAATTCTATAGTTTTCTGACTCTGATTATACTAGATAAATAGGCTTATGAGTGCATGATTCTACTACTTTCCACACACATTGAGATTATAAAAGTATTTTTCTTCCTAAAAGGACTTGGATGACAGCAACTATGTCTGTTTTTATATAGTACTTGATACGTTCACACACGTTAGCTCGTACGATTCTCTGAGTGACCCGGGAGGGTGGATTGAGTGAATGCCACTATTTAGTACTTCATAGAAAAGGGCATGACCTGTTTTATTGGGTCTGTTAGTGGCAGTGACAGTGCTACTGCTTCTGGGTGTGATCTAATTCCTGTTTTGATGCTGGAATAGCCCACTCTAGATGTGAGAGTGTAAAATGTTCTATACATGTCACAATCGTTTGTTGAAGTATCCTGCCACAGGCCAAGAATGTTTCAAACATTTGTTGTCTTTACCAGTTATCATTGGAACATGATTTTAACTCATGCTTTCCTCCGTTCTGTCTCTGTTTCCCATCTCAGCAGTAGCTGCCATATTTGCCCGATGGTGAGATACACAAAAGGGGAGGCCATCTTTCAGAAGGGGCCATGTTTCTGGGCACTTGTTACGGGGTTATGAGGTAAGGGAGGGGAAGCCCCAAGAAACTAAGGGATAGTCCAACTTCTCACCACAAACTGCAAGTTCATGACTTGAGCCGAAATCAAGAATCTGATGCTTAACTGACTGAGCCACCCAGGTGCCCTGAGATCAGCCGTACTTCTAAAATACATGTTTTGCTTGGAGAGGAAGAAGATGCTATTGGGCCAGTCTGAGTGGGAGATCAGGGGTAGGGCTCTCTGGGAATCCTTGACAACCAGCAGCCAGCATTCCGGGATGTGAACAGACAGAGGTTAGGATGGTAAGAGAAAGCACGGCTTCCTTTGCAATCTTGCCGAGAGCCCTCAGATCATATAGTTTATAAAGCTCACTACCCGTTTTACCTTAACTTAAGAGAATCAAGCATCCTTGAAGGGTCGGGCAAAGCTGAGGCATCAGGATGTCCCTTACAACACACGTTAGAACAGCAACAAGTTGGAAGTGACCCCATTGTGTATCGTAGGGATTGGCTAGGAAACCTCCATCGCGCATACGTGGAAAATGTATCATGTCATCAGAAACTGGGCCAGGAAGTCCGTGTTGACAGAAGAGGTGTCACAGAAGGTGTCATTTTCCCCTCCCTTGTTATCACACTTCCCATGTTTCCTTGGGGAATCACACCCTCTCCCACTCAGTCTCTAGGGTTGGTCTCCATTGACAGGGATGGGCTTGAGACAAAGCTGCTAAGAAAAGTAGCTCCTTCCGCACCCAGAGGGGTGAAGCCCCAACGGGCCACTGAGGGCCAAGGGGACTCCATTATTGTTGGATCTGGCAGAGAAGAAAGGGCTTCTTTCCCCTGAGATGGCCAAGGTCTGCATATGCACACATCAGGGACAACTGCAGGGAGAATATGCTAGGAAATAAGGCAGCCTTCAGGAAGGATTCCTGAGGCCTTCATTTGAGCACCTGACTCTTCAGTTACCCAGTGCATAAATTCCCTTTGTGGCTCAACCAGTTTGGGTTACGTTTCTGTCATTTACAATGGAAAGATTCTCAACCAATACAGACACTCATGATATAACACTGAGAGAAGACTCGGGTTTTAAAACATTTTGTCCCATTTTTAATGCATGCCGTATATTTTTGCATGTAGACAAAAGCATATGGAATGAGACATCAAATTGTTTACACTGTTGTCTCCAGATGTAGGAGGGACAGGTGATTATTTTTTTATTTTTATTGTCAAGTTTTTAACTTGATTTAAGATAGCCAT